GTGGGCTGCGGAATCATCAATACGCTGATGATACCCAGCTTTACCTCTCGTTTTCCACTAATCCAGGTGAGGCAGTGGCTGTGCTGAACCGGTGCTTGGCCAAGGTAAGGGAATGGATGAGGGCAAATAAACTGAAACTCAACCCAGACAAGACGGAGGTCCTGTTGGTTGGCGGATCGGGCTTCGGAGAGGGTGGATTTGACCTGGTCCTGAATGGTGCAACACTCCCTCTTAGGGATAAGGTCCGCAGCCTAGGAGTACTCCTCGACCCAGAGCTTTCTTTGGAAGCTCAGGTGACAGCGGTGGCGAGGAACGCCTTCCTTCAGCTTCGGCTGATTAATCAGCTGCGCCCCTACCTGGAGTACGACTGCCTGGCGACGGTGACACACGCGCTGGTGACTTCCCGCCTAGACTTCTGTAACGCACTTTACGTGGGGCTTCCCCTGAAGACGGTCCGAACACTTCAATTGGTGCAAAATAGAGCTGCCAGGTTGCTGACGGGGACGGGGCGTTATGCTCACATGACTCCAGTCCTCCGTCAGCTTCACTGGCTTCCCATTGAAGCCCGGGCCCAATTCAAGGTGTTGATTATGACCTATAAAGCCCTAAACGGCTTGGGTCCTGGCTACCTGAACGAGCGCTTACGTCCGTATATGCCCGCCCGCCCTTTGAGATCTGCGGGAAAGTCCCTTCTCCAGGAACCCTCCATGAAAGAAATTAGGAGAGTAAGTACTCGGAGGAGGGCTTTCTCTGCGGTGGCACCCAACCTATGGAATTCACTCCCCAAAGAGGTCCGCCTGGCACCGTCGTTACTGGTTTTTCGGCGCCAGGTAAAGACCTTTTTATTTAAACATCATCTGAATTGTTAAAACATATGATCTGGCCAGGGCAACTTCTTCTTCCTTCTCTTTCTCCTCCTATATTTTTATTTACTTAAGTTATACTGCTAATTTTAATCTTATATTTGTAAACCAATGTATTTTTTGTATTTTGTATTTAATGGTAATTTATTATGTGCTATTGTATTTCATTGTATTTTATTGTGTTGTAAGCCGCCCCGAGGTTTTGGCAAGGGGCGGCATAGAAATGTTAATAATAATAATAATAATAATAATAATAATAATAATAATGCGTATAGTCAAGGCTATGGTTTTCCCAGTTGCAATGTATGGCTGTGAAAGCTGGACCATAAGGAAGGCTGAGTACCGAAGAATTGAGGCCTTTGGATTGTGGTGCTGGAGGAGACTCTGCGAGTCCCTTGGACTGCAAGGCGATCAAACTGGTCAGTCCTAGAGGAGATCAACCCTGACCGCTCTTTAGAAGGCCTGATCTTGAAGATGAAACTCAAATGCTTTGGCCACCTAATGAGAAGGGAGGACTCCCTGGAGAAGACCCTGATGCTGGGAACAATAGATGGCAAAAGAAGGAGGGGACGGGGCAGAGTCTGAGGTGGCTGGATGGGGTCACTGGGACGGTGGGTGTGGGCTTGGGTGGACTCCGGGAGATGGTGGAGGACAGGAGGGCCTGGAGGAGTGTTGTCCATGGGGTCGCGATGGGTTGGGCACAACTTTGTGACTATACAACACAATGGATTATAAAATTGTACTAAGATTTGTTTTGATTTTGTATCGCTTAGAGTTAAATATTGTATTGCTTGATTGTAGAAGTAGAGAGAGTCAGAAGGGACCTCCCGGGCCATCTAGTCTGACCCCCAGCTCCAGCCGACTCTGCTTATGACATGCCATTAGATATTGCTCTAGTATGTTACTGTATTTGTTTGGAATATGGTTTTTTTTTTGTTCTATTGTAAGCTGCCCAGAGCGCCCTGTGGGCTATGGAGCGGCATACAAATGTTGGCAAATTCCAGCTGCTCCCCTCACCCGACTTTAACCGGGCACCTCAGGCCACCCCAGAGAGAAAGAAGAGCTCAACACCCGGGCTCCCAGCCACTTTCCCCTGGCGGTCCCCAGGCCATCCACACAGGAGACCCTCTCCTGTCCCCACCCAGCAACGGACTAACCACGCTCCTCTCAGGTCCTGCTGTCCCAAGTCCCTACTTTCCCGCCAAAACAGAAGTCAGCCAATCAGAATCAAGCACTCCTCAGTCTCCCCCCCCCAGCTGTGAACCTTCTCAATGCTTGTCCTGCTCCAGCCAATCAGAATCAAGCTCCCCTCAGCCTGGTCTCACGTAATCCAAGCACTTTTCTTCCTGCAACAGCCAATCAGAACCAAGCTCACCTCAGCCTGGCCCGCTTAATCCAAGCACTTTTCCTCCTGCAACAGCCAATCAGAACCAAGCTCACCTCAGCCTGGCCCGCTTAATCCAAACACTTTTCCTCCTGCTACAGCCAATCAGAACCAAGCTCACCCCAGCCTGGTCCCATGTATTCCAAGCGCTTTTCCTCCTGCAACAGCCAATCAGAACCAAGCTCACCTCAAGCAGGTGAATTGTGCACTGGAGATTCCGAGTTAAAGAATTATTTCTGTTCTTAGCATATTTCAGTTTATTTATATGCATTTTGCTGATTCTTCATTTTGTTTATACACTTTCTTTTGATGTATTTGCCATGGGCTTTGGCTGGGACAACAAACTTTTAAAAGTATAACATACAAAATAGCTCAGCCAAAGCACAGCAAAGCAACTTCTCTGCAGGCCATGGAGAACCTCAAAACGTTTCCGTAAATACCCCAGAACTGCTCTGCTTGTTACGCCTCAGCCCTCCTTTCCCCTGGCTTCGCTGCTGCTTTGCCATTTCACCCTCACAACCACCCTGTGAGGTAGGCCAGGCTGAACTTCACAGGGGCTGCATGGGTGCTAGAACCTAACCACGTGCTTCAGGCCTGTGCCTTCACCACCGGGACTCGTGGCTTGCACTGGGGCAACTTGCATGCAATTCTTCGTCCATTGCATGCAAATCCTGCCTTTTTCCCGCCTCTCTGGAGGAACCCGAGGCAGTCTGCATATTCTGCCTCGCTCCTGTCCACTGCAGGCTTACACAAACCCTGCAAGGTAGAACAGGCTGAGGGCATGTGACTGGGTGGGTTTTACAGATGCTGCTTCACCCTGGGAGGCTCAGGTAGCGGTTACTGCATTAGACTAAGCTCTGGGAGGTGCGGGTTCTAGTCCCCACTGGGTGTCTTTGGGCCTGCCATGGCCTCTCAGCCTGGCCTACCTCACGGGGCTGTTGTGAGGACACGATGGCAAGAATGGGAATTATGTGACCCGCCTTGGCATCCTTGCAGGAAAAAAGCGGGGCTAAAAGCTTTTCTTGTTGCATAGCCCCATCTCCACGTCAGCTGAGTGAGGGTAGGGTGACATTTTCATACTTTGCGGGTAGGCCTCGCGGGGCTCGTTGTTGATAACGGACAGAGCAGCGCCCCAAACTGTAACCCGCCCCAGGAGCCTTATGGCTAATGGGACGGGATAAAAGTCAAAAAAATGAATAAATACGCAGGGCTTTCCCGTCCTGGAATCCCACAATGGAAAGCTCAGAGCTGGAGCTACACCTCTAGCCTTTCTTGGATCTATATGAGCACCTCTTTGACCGCTAACAGGCAAAGCCACTCTCCTGCCACCAACAGGGCCGGCACCTGGCGTTGCTCGGCACCTTTCTCCCGCCCCGGTTCTTGCCACACCCAGCATGGCCGCCTGAAGGAGCCGTGTCGCGTTGCCTGCCCGCAAGCCCTCCCTCCCCGGAAGTTGCGTCCTCCTCGCCACACCCAGCATGGCCGCCTGAAGGAGCCGTGACGCTTTCCCTGCCCGCACGCCCTCCCTCCCCGGAAGTTGCGTCCTCTTCGCCACACCCAGCATGGCCGCCTGAAGGAGGCGCGACGCTTTCCCTGCCCGCACGCCCTGCCTCCCCGGAAGTTGCGTCATCCTCGCCTCTCCAGACATGGCAGCGGGGAGGGAGGAGGGAAAGGGGGCGGCCCTTGAGAGCGGGGGAGACGCCCCGCTACACGCCCCCCGCCAGGAAGGAGCTCACAGCTTGCCTTGGAACAGAGACTCTCAGCCCGGCCTACCTTACAGGGTTGTTGTTGTGGGGACAAAATGGGAGGGGCAGGAGGATGTCAGTTGTTCTGAGTTGTTCGCAAGAACAAAGCAGGGTATAAAACTAACAAATAAATAAAAAGTCCAAGGCAGTGAAACCTGCCCCAAGTGGAGAAGTCCTGGGAAAGCCTGGTGGGTCACTGAGGGAGAAGCCCCGTTCTTTTTTTTTAAATAAGTTTTATTTGAAATTATAATCCTAAAAAACAAAAACTAAAAGCAACATCAATCATCAAAAACATTGAGCCTGCTGGGTCAGCCCCCACACCCTTCTTTTTCCATTTATAACTTAAAAACATATTTAAATCTAAGCCAAGTCCTGTTTCTCTAGCCAATAATAAAAAGAGTCCCAAGTTTGATAGAAGTCAGTATCTTCCTTCTCCTTCAATGACAAAGTCAGTCTTTCCATTTCTGCACAGTCCAAGATCTTTTTTAGAATCAGCTCGTCGGTGGGTGGCTCTTCACTTTTCCAGTGTTGGGCAAATGCAATCCTCGCCGCAGTGATTACATGTAAAATCAAGTACATTTCTTGTTTACTAATGTCCACCAGAATAATGCCTAATAAAAAAAACTTCAGGTTTAAAAGCTAAAGGTTTTTGTAACATTTCCTCAAGGCATTTATGTATTTTAATGCAATATTTTTTTACGTTAACACAAGTCCACCACATATGATAAAAGGTACCCAATTTATGTTTACATTTCCAACATCCATTTGACATATTTGGAAACAGCTGATCTATTTGGCGACAGATACCATCAAGGAGAAGCCTCGCTCTTAGTGTGCCTGCCTCTGATGAGGACGGGCTTCTCGTTTCCCTACCCCACCCCCCACCCAGCATTGTGAATAAACTATAAAGATTGTCATAAATGGGTGCAAGCAGGATCTGCATTGTTTATTTTTTAGATTTATATCCCACTTTTTTCTTACAACACATTCAGCGCATTGAAGCAGTGTGATGGCATTTTCATATCGATTTAGCAGGGAACAAGCCCCATTTGAACTCAATAGGGTTGCTTCCCAGTTGGTGGGCACAGGATTGCCGCCCTGTTAACCACAGGGCAAAATTGAGCTGTACCCTTTTGACTGCCTGGGCTGGGCAGCAAAAAATCTGGTGTGAATCCAGTCCTCTTGTTGTGGCGTTCAGGTATGTCTTTTTAACAGGTCTGTTTCTAGGAAGCGAAGTGTTGTCTTAACTTGCTTGGTCTTGAATAAATATTGATCTTGTATCTGTAGTAGAGCTGCTTGGGTAAGATGGCAAGAAAACTGTGGCTGAGAAGAGCCAAGAGGACAAGAGATGAGGCGTTCAGCCAAAGAACAAAGGATTAGAAACATCAAGCAGGTGAGGAAGAGCAATCCTGGAAAGTTTAACATGGGAATGGATCTGGCAGGTAGACTTGGATTGAAGGTTGAGGACGGCGGGGTAGGACCTGCTGAACACAGAGTTGGAAAAGGAGGACCTCTCCTGGGCGCACAAGGATTCTGCCTCTCAGATCGCAGATTCAGCAATCCTGTTTCTGCACAGCCCTTCCCGATCCTTCAAACTGCCTCATCTTCTCTGAATCCCCTTTGCTTCTGATTTCCCACCTTTGCTTCAGTCCCTTGCCTTACCGCTGGACCACCCTCCCTCGCACCTGCCCCTTTCCAGCTCAGCTACACCTCAAGAGCTTTCCTAAGAAGGCAGAGATGCGAAAGAGCAAAGGTACGGCATGAACGGTTTACATGGAGCATCAATGAGGTGAACCGTCAGATTCAAGGTGCCCATGTCATTTTTTTGGAATGCTTTGTAGTGGATTATTTGATGGTGCAATCCTTTAAAAAATATAGAACAGAGCTGACATTTTGAAATAGATACAAGACAACCATATTTAGCTAAACGGTTGCATTGGAGGAAGAAATAGGTAAAATTTAAGTTCTGGTGCAATTAATGTTGAATTTTAATGGGTTTTGTTTTTAAGGGTTTTTAACTTATATACCGTATGTGTTTGGTATTGTTTGGTTTCGATTAGATCTTCAAAAACCTCTACTGATCACCCACAGCATCTTTAAATAGCTTTATGTGGAACGCGCAGTTCCCTGGCTTGTCTTTTGCTCCGTGGCCACGTGACTTTTCTTTCAGCTACTCCAGTTTGCCTCCTGAGAAAGAGGTGCTTTGTGACTGGCTACCTCACCATGACAACCCTGTCATGAATAGGCAGGCTGCCTCTCCCCTGGCAGACATTTTGTGAGTGCACCCACGACACTTTCCCAAAGTTCCCAGTATGTTTAACCCTAAAAGGCAAAAAGACCCTTGGAGAGGGCCCACTGCAGTCGATGTGAGAAGTCGGCCATGACTAGCTGAAGTCCCTTTGATTTTGACGGTGGGCCTTCTCTGAGGATGGCTATGTCTTCATCAAGCCCACCAAGTGAGTAGATACGTAATTAGAAACCTGTCATTATTGGGTGTGAGACTCCAAGTAACTTTTTACAGCATGGCTCTTTTAAAGTTGAAGCATTGCAGAATCGTGCATCTTCTTTAACAAACAGCTTGAGGGCTACTAGAAAACCGAAGCAACGAAGACAGATAAATTTAGGGCTCTTTATGTTTCATTTCCTTTTAAAAGAAGGATCTTAGAAGCCTCCCTTCCTCAGTGTTCCTAAACATGTGATTTTGGTGCCTTTGAAATTCCAGCTGTGTTCCTGAGGAAAGCTGTTTGTCCAATCTGTGAACTAAACTGTCTTAAACCTATCTTGGTTATGTCATTCACTTGCTTCACACCTGGATCTAATGGATTAGTAGCATGAATGTCCATTCATATTTACCATTATTATACAAAATAGAGTTGTGGATTTTCATCCTCATTTTAGTGAACTATGGGATAACTGATAAACTGGCACAGTTCCTGCTTATTCTGGGTTAAACATAAACAGAGAAATTAAGATTTAAGAGTTTTACTGAATGACTTTCCTTGCTGAATCTTACTAACCATTCATCTTGCTACCTAGTTTCTTGATCTACCTCTTTTGTCTGGATTCTGCATTGCTTATCTATCCATCCATCTTTCTCTCTAGAACCTGTTATCTCAAGATGCTCTTTTACTTCAGTGGCATCCAAGGAAACCAGGTGGTGTGAGCGAACTATGGCGGCAACATTGAAACTACATCTTAAGAAGGAAGGTTGTCAATTAGGCAAAAAGTATGTAAAGACAAAACTGTCACATCTCCACCTGGACGATACGCAAGAGGGTGAAGTAAAAGACAGAAGAGAATCTACTTCTCCAAAATTGTCAGCTTTGAATTCACCATTGTCCTCTTCAGGAAACAAAGCAACTCCAGGAAAGTGTGTCATCAAAAAGATACTGGTTGACCTGCGCCCCATTCTGGATAACATCATGGACCCCTTGGACTCTCAAGAGGAAATGTTGGAGGAAAACCCCCAAGACAAGGCTCTCCAGCATCCTTCATCAGACCCTTGCGATTCCAGTGGTGAAGACTTCCTTGAAGGAGAAGACGGAACCTCAGGGGTGACCACCACTGATGGGGCAGGGAACCAGACCAGCAAGATGGCTCCTGTTTGTTCTAAGGATAATGAAGGAGGAGGAGGAAACCAGACCAGCAAGATGGCTCCTGTTTGTTCTAAGGATAAAGGCATCCATAAAGTTATTTCATTCCCTTCCACACCTGAGCTCATCAGAGTCTCCAAGTTTAATGGAAGGAGAGTCAAGACCCCCAGAGGAACCCCGGCAGAGCTAGGAGAACCGAAACGGCCTCAGAAAAACATCTCTCCTGCCATGCTTATTCTTGAACCCCAGTTTGAAAGCCCAATGTTTGTTCCCAGGATATGCCCACAGCAGTGCGCTCTGCTGGACACAGAAAGTTCAGCCGAACTCGTAAGGATGCATTGGCTTTTAGCAGGGTGGGCGGTTACGAGTTTTGGCTGGTTAAGTGGTTTTGAGAAATCTGCACCACACGGACAGTCTTGCAGTGGTGTTTTTACTGAACTGTGGCCAGGGAAACCCCGGTTCAGATTGCCCTGCAGGCCAATCCTCACTTAACTTCCATGGTTGTCGTGTGGCTAAAGAAGGGATTTTCTGGAGAGTATCCTGCATCCCATGGCCACAACGCACAGTCTGTTCCCAGTGAGCTGGGATTTGTCTTGGGGAGTCAGGGTTGGAAAATGTTGTTTCCTTCTCCAAACATTCGGGCGTGCTGATACCTGGCGCTTATTTCTCAGTGGCCCCACGTTGGTTAAAATTTGGTTGGCACTCAACATTTGAGTTTGCAATTGTAAGGAGTGCTGAATATCCCATGAAAGAGGGGATAGGGAGATACACACAGCTGAACACTGTGTAAAAATTGGGGAAATTAAAAAAATGAAGCCGTGATTAACATTTCCCAAAACTTTGGAACTTAAAGCTTTCTCTGCGGCAGCGCCCCACCTATGGAATGCGCTCCCCAGAGAGGTCCACCTGGTGCCGTCGTTATTTGTTTTTCGGCACCAGGCCAAGACCTTTTTATTTAAACAATACTTTAACAACTGTTAATATTATTTATTGGTTTTAATTCTACAGCCAGGGTGAATCTGGATTTTATGTGTACTATTTATATGCTTTGTTTGTTTATTTATTGTATTGCAAGCCGTCCCGAGGCTCATGCGAATGGGACGGCATACAAAAACTCCAAATAGATAGATAGATAGATAGATAGATAGATAGATAGATAGATAGATAGATAGATAAGCGTCAGTTCCAATTTGACCAGGCCAAAGGGAGAAACTGAGGCAAAGAAGATTGCAGAAAAGTCCCTAGTTTGTCTGACGCCACTGTGTGGTGGGGTTTTCCATGGTGTCAACAAAGCGACGGAGATTCCCTCGGGACAGACTGCTTACTTGATACTTTGGAACAATAATGGAGAGAATTCATGGGCTGGATTGGGCTGCTGGCCTATCACAGGCCCAACTCTTTATCTAAGGCCTTCCCAATGCTCTAAAGAAGGGAAGCCCAGGTCTTACCTCCTTCCTGTCACAGGCTGGAGATAAGAGTGGAGGATCCATGCTCCGTGCCAAAAGCCTTGCAACCAACCCTGAGCAGGGAAACTCAGATGGGATGCATGGTCAGGGCATCATGCACCTCCCCAACTGGGGGCCCTCCCCATCTAGACCCTGGGGCCAGAATCTTTGCTGACCGCTGCAACTTACTTTCAAAATTCCATAAAAGCGCATTACAACATCTGAAAAACCTCCTCCCGGGACGATTTCCCCAACAAGCAGTGGGCCCCCAGATCTGACCGAGTAACCGGCGTGTTTCTGCTTTGAATCCCACCCCCAGCCGAGAGCCCCCTCCCCGGACTTCCAGCTGCCCACCCAGCTGCTCTTACAGAGGCTGCAGGAGACCACGACGAGTAGCAACCACCTGCTGATCACGCAGGTCCTGAGCTCATTGCAGGAGGAGCTGCTGGTGCGCAGCCCAAGCTCCAGTGATGGGTAAGGACACTGGGCGTGCGCTCCCTTCCGATCCTTGTCTCCCAGCATCAGCCCGCCGAGCTGAAAATGGGCCATGGCAAAGCGAGGCTGGGGCCTTGCGCCTCTTCTTCCCCTTCCCCTTTGGGGTTCTGTCTTGGGATCGGGGGTGCTGAAGCCCTTTCAGCAGAGTTGCGTTTTGGAGATGCTCTTGGGGGGCATAGTCTAGCAATGGGCGGGGCCAAAGCAAAGGGAGCGGTGCCGTCATGCTCCCAGAAGCACGAGTCGGACGTTTTCAGTGGGTTTCTTCAACCAGAGGGTGATGGGAAGGGCTAAAGACCTTGTACATGCCCCCCACCCCAATCCTCTCTCCCCCTGCCCCCTTTTCCAGGGAAAAACAGAACAGCTCCTCAGAGGCTTCTTGGAACAAACCTAGCAAAAGCGGCCCTGCAGACCCTAACCAAGGAAAGGAGGCGAACGGCAATCCAGGGGCCACGCAAAGGAGGCTGAGGAAATCCACCTGGTGTTGCCACCAGTTCATCTATGGCGCAGGTCTCGGGCAGGCAGCCCCCCATCTCTGAGTTGCTGCTGGATTAAGGGCGAATACCCTGACTGGATTAGTCATCACGTTCGGCATCTGGCAGGCAATCCACCCGCTGCTGGAGGAAGGCTCCCGGAAAGGGCCTGAAACTGAGCTGATGTATTCTTGCTTCTCAATATAGAAGGTAGACTGATTCTGTCTATGGAGGTACCACCATAGGATCTCAATAGATCTCCATTTTAAAAAAAGGCCTTGTTGGTTTAGACTGACGTGTTCCTCAAAGCTAAGCCAGGCTTCTGCAGAAGGTGCCTTGTCTGTTGGCATGGATCCCCAACCTGCACAACACATCTCGAGGGAAACAGTGTAGGATCTTCCAGGAATTCTCAGAAGGGTTTTCCTCCCTGGTCAATGCACACAGGGCTCCTTTTATCTGAACAAAGCAGGGGCTAAATTCAGATGCTGTTCTAGGCAATAGATGCCAGATTGGATAGTGATGCCTAGAAGCTTCAGGGGAGCACCACTTTCTGATAGAGTCCAGTTGCAGAACAAATAAGAACAGTGCTCTCCAGGCCTCTCGGGCACACACTAAATGAAAAGATAGCTGGGTGGGCCTTCTGTATATTTCCATGTTAATGAATACCTTTATTTGTAAGCCGCCCCGAGGCTTCGGCGAATGGGGCGGCATAGAAATTTTCTAAATAATAAATAAATAGGTCAAGCAAAAGGAAAAAAAATCTGCAAGATTTTGAGATCCACAGAACTCTTCATCAAGAGTTATGAGACTAGTGAGATCATTTTGTGTGCAAGTTTGGACATAATTAGACATGCCAGTACCCTTCCCTTCCTACAACCATCCACACCCCCTCATACTATTTTGTACAGTGGTGAAAGGACATCAAAGATACTCCAGGTTTCAAGCCTGGCCTTTTGGGGAGTGTTTTTCCCTCTGCCCATCTGGGCTTTCCCACCCTGGGATGCCTGAAATGTGTGTTCTCCAGAAAGTCCCCACCTGCTCACAGCTTCTTATCCTGGAACACCTCCAGTTTCCAGAGCCTCAGGTCTCCGCGGCACCTTGCTGGAACGTTGACCTGGGGGTTCCAGCCCAAGTCCCCATGTGGCCATGGGTGACTTTGGGCCAGTCACTCACTCTCATGCAACCTACCTCACAGGGATAGAGCAATTAAGGATGCTCACAAGAGGAACGGTGGGATATAAAAATGTGAAGTAATACATAACCTGCCGCGCAAGGATGTTGTTAGGGCGGGAAAGTGTGCTCATGGGAATGAGAGACTTGAGCCCCTGGAGAAGTAAACAAGAAAGAGAACTGGGGAGACCCCACTCCACCACTGCAGACTGAAGGGAAAGCAAAGGGACTTCCTGTTTCTGCTTTCCTCTTCCCTCTCCTTTTGTGTGGCATCTTTTCAGATTATAAGCCTCTGGGCATGAACTGACTTGTCTGACTGATCAGCGGCAAGCAGGTCTTTAAATGCATGCAGCAACGAAGTTGTCCGAGTGCCACTAAATGTTCGTTTCCTTCTTGGGAGGGGCAAGAATGTTTGAGGACGGATTCCTGCGGTCGACTGACACAAGAGGGCTATACTGGACAGACACACACACACACACACACACACACACGGAGGTCTGAGTGCTTCAGAGGGATTTTCTTTATTAAGAAATCTGTCCCATCTTCGAGATGCAGGGGGTGCTGAATACACGGCTGGCAGTCATACGTACATCTGGTTCCCAAACTTAGCGCGCTCGAGAACACTCTGCGGGTGCAGGTAAAACAGCTCATCGAGTGTCGGAGACACCCAGCGCGTAGTGTGGAATCGCGACTCGCCGACCTGCGAAGGGAGAGGAAGTGGGTTGCGACAGCGCCTTGGGAGGCTAGTGGGGGAGCAAACTGACAAGCATGGGAAGCGGGGTGCTGGTGGCCCCCTAGCACGGATCTCACTGGCTCCCCCAAGCAGGAGACACAGTTCTACCCGCTTGGCTGAGGAAGCATTTCTGGCCACCTGGAGTCAGGTGCTGAAGCCCAGCCAGTGGCTGGAAAGAATTCCCTTTGTCCCAGGTGAGAGCCGATTATAAATGCCCCTCCATCACATCCCCGCTCCGGCGGCGGCAAAGGGATGTGACATGGTCTGGGGGTGACAAAGGCTGCTGCCAGGACTCGAGCAATCTCAGCATGGGGTCCAGGGAACCCTTTTTCGGTAACGCTGCAAAAGCCCAAACCTGCCAGCCAGGAACATCCTTCATTATCTTGGCCTCCTCCTCCAAATTCTGCCGCAAGATGCGCAGGGTCCTAAAGAAGAACAGAAGACAAGATGTGGAGGACAGTTCAAGCCACGAAATAGGAGGCAGAGCGCCTGACTGCCCCCCCCCCCCGCCCCGCAGCAGTCCCAGGAGAGGTGGTTCCAAACGTTCTCGGGGGCCGCATGCCAGCAGAGCATGAAAGGAACGGGCCTCAAATCACCAAAAACTCCAGCCTGGAAGTGCTTAGTGCCAAGGTGGGTTCCGGGAGAGATTTCCCAGCCTTTTGGAATGAGGGGGGGAAAAACTGCACCAGAGGAGGGAAACCACCAAAAAAGCAGTGTTGGGGAGGGAGGGGGGTGGCCGTGGGGAAATTCCCAGAGGGAGCCGTTTTGCTCATGTATCCCCGGTGAAATGCCATGGCACCTGACAGCGGGGTGGGCTGGCACCAAGGGCAGAGCTCATTAGAGGGAAGCAAATCGCAGAGCAATGGAGGAAGGGAACTGCGGCTGGCCAGACAAGGGGCAACGAGCCTGAAGCCGGGCTGGATGCTGAAGGGCTCCAGCCGCGTTCATCTCTTCCGGCTCTTGTCCCCAGCTGGCACCAAGCCACCTTTGTTTCCCTGTTCTGGCTGGCACCTGGAGAGAACAGCGGCCGACAAGATCAGCCGCTTTCCTTTTACGGGAACGCCTTGCCGTATTCCATGTTTCGTCTCGCAGGATTATGCATGACTGAAACTTGTTCTGGGAGCAAGTGCTGTACAGAATTCCCTCGTCAAAACACAAACTCCTCGTTTACTGGGACTGGAAGAATCCAGGCTTCCAGGCAACGAAGTCTGGCAGGGTCTCTGGACAGCCCTCCAGCGCAAACAAGCTGTGTGCAGCTTTACAAGGTCCCTTCCACACCAGATGATTCTCCAGGGTCTTGCTGGGGGAAGGATCCAGCATTCTGAGGGTTATGGAGGCCACGGGACACTCATTGAGAGAAGCCACTAAATATCCAGGCACGGGAATTCGAGTGTACCTGCGGTCATCTTCAGCCATCAGAAGAGGAAGGAGTGCCACCCGCGCTTCCAGATCTTCAATGTTCAAGCGCCTGGGGTTGGGTAAGGCAGAGGAAGCAAACGAGGCAGGAACTTCCATTACATCCATATCCAGCTTTTTGCAGCACAGAATGCAAGGTGGCTCCCCTAAGGCTCCCCTCTATTTTACCCTCACAACAATCCTGCAGAGAAGGCCAGGCCAAGAGTCACCCTGTGAGCTCCATGGCCAAGAGGGGATTTGAACCCAGGTCCTCCAAGTCCCAGGGCAACACTCTAGCCATTTGGCTTTTGGGAAACCTGGACCCGGCTGGTTTCCAGCTCTGACAGCAAAGGCCCCAGCAAAGGGAAAAACAAAATCTGACTTTGAGTTCCAGGCTACTGCTGCTTAGTCAAGAAATTACTGCGTAAGGCATGGGTCCTCAAAGTACGGCCCGCAGGCCAGACCCGGCCCACCATGCTCATTTATCCGGCCCGCCATAGAGGTTTTAGACTCGCCGCGTGTGCGCTCATATAGAGATCGTTTTGGACTCGCTCGGAGAAAAGGATCTCCTTGCTCGCAAGCCGGCACCTCGCCGTGCGCACGCCCAGCGGTGGCTTGCTCACAAGATCCTTTTCTCCGAGCAAGTCCAAAACGATCTCCTTGCGAGCAAGCCGGCGAGGTTCGCCCACACCCCAGTCCGACCTGCGCCCCCCACCCGCACCGCCTTGGCGGCCCATGCCCACCGCTGGCACCTTTCAACTGGCCCCTTGTTTAAAGTTTGAGGGCCCCTGGCTTAAGATCTCCTGGAAAAAATATCTTCTATCTCACAACACCTTTCCTGATGTGCTTAAACTGCCTCATCTCAAGGGCACCTCTTTGCTTACATGGCTCCAATCCCTCTACCTTTCCCACCCTGACAGCTTCACATGGAGACCTTCCTACACACAAGTTCTCCGCCATCTCCCTGGTATATCAGACACACTTTTTCCTTGATAACTGAGGCAGCTTGGTTGGGGTTGCATCCAATCTACAGTGTTTGCCTGGTTCTGGACACATATTTCTGGGGATGATGTTAGGGTTCTGCTATAACCAGCTACTGTAACCCTACTGGCCTTCCATGACCTGCTGGTCAGAGGAAGGTTCTTCCACTTATAAAGCCAAAGGGGAGGTGGGTCTTCCCACATACCAGAGACTACCAGAAAACTTACCGCCTTTCCCGGTTCCACTTCGCAATGGAGTAATAGCCGTAGAACATAATCCCAATTCCAATGGCAAACAAGCTGTAGCCTGAGAAAGAGAGAGGGAGAAGAAATACAGTAAAACCTTGGATTGTGAGTACCTTCTGTGAGTGTTCCACAAGACAAGCAAACATGCAATACGAGTAGTACATGATGCCGAATGTCACGTGATCACAACTGAGCCAATGGTTGTTCTCTCTCTCTTGCTGTGGTCCTACAACTCCCAGCATCCCTCGAGGAAGGGAGGGTATGCTGGGAATTACAGAACTGTTTTTCTGTCTAAACATGCATAGGATTGCACTGGAAGCAGAGTTAAGCTGACAGCATTTCCTAGTTGGTTACCGCAAGGCATATGCTCATCCTGAAGACAAAGGAGTTGTTTTTATGAGAGTCTTGGGTTGTTTAGTGCTGTACACTGACACTGACTTAAATCAGTTCTACTTAACTGCTCCCATCATTTGGTGTATATTTGGTGCTTTGTGGTGAAGATCTGTTTAAAAATCATGTCAGGTCTTAACTGTGGACTTCAAGGCTTGTGTGGGAGGAGTACGTGGTGTGTTGTACTACAAGGTTAGAACCTTGCATCTGCTTTACCTTTCAGTATTCCCCCCCCCCCCGAATACTGGAATCCTCCCAGTATTCAGAGGGAGATACTGAAAGGTAAAGCAGATATAAGAGGTTATGGAAGAGATCTCTCTACAGAGGAGGAGGAAAAAAAAGTGGAGGAATCCCTCACTTCAAATGAGATTAGGGAGATGTGTAAAATGTGGGAAACGGTGCAAAATTTTGTACACCACCCAAATAAGGCTGTAGCAGTGTGAGCGAGGGATCTGTATAATGACAATGCAATGTCACATTTCCACGAAATCCTCAAAAGGAGACAAAAGCAAGTGCCATTGGATAGGTTCCTTGTTAAAGTGGCACGGAACAGAAACGATTCCATTGAGCCAATAGATAGCAGTGATTCTGTTAGTGATACTGAAAGTTGTCCTACACAATAACCCTCCTCTCTCGTCTCCCTCACACCAGCCATGAAGGTTTCCAAAGATAAGTGCAGGTTAATTTGTTTAATTTTTCTTTCTATTTTGTATTCTTTATTAGTTTGCATTATATTACTGTAATCATTTTATATGAATATTTTTGGGTTGTAGAATGAATCAGCTGAGTTTCCATGATTTTTAATGGGGAAATTCACTTTGATATACAAGTGCCTTGGATGACAAGCATGTTTCTGGAAAGAATTATGCTTGCAAACTAAGGTTTTATTTTAGAAAGATTCTATTGTCAGGAGCTTCCTTAAAATTGCAAGTCAGCCTCCCAGAGTCACTGGCCTTCACTGAGGATCAAGATGTGTTAGGAACCATTTCCTCGTTGTTGATCATTGGCAAGTTCTGCAAATTTGCTCCTGAGAGCAATTAGCCATCTCTACCACAGGCACTGCCAGATGTTTTGGTTAACAACTCCCATCATTCTGCATGATTGTCTGTGGCTGATAGGAGCTGTAGCTGAAAACATCCAGCGGGCCACATCCACCAAGAAAGACCTAAAAAAATACTAGGAGATGCAAGGGATTAATCCTTATTTCCACCTGCAATATAAGAAAAAATTGCGTGAGGTCCTCCTTTGGCAGAAGAATGAGGAGCAGGTCTTCCAAGACAGCACCCATGAGAGGGGGAAAATGGGGAAATCAACCTCGTACCTGCATGCCACCAATAGAAGAGAACCACCAGATGTTCTCGGCGGCAATTCTCACAGACTTCAGCCAATTGAGCAAATTTTAGGGATGACGAAGCTGTTGGCCAATCATCTGGACCACCACAGATGGCTCAAGCAGATCCGGGCATCTCGACTGCACCTCTGTCTCGGGGACCCAGGCTTTCAGGCTGGCTCTCGATCCAGCTCATGGGGACCCGGCTGTTCAGACGGTGAGGACCACCCCCCTCCTGCGTTGCCCTCTTGGGGGACGCCGCCTTTGAGGGACCCGCTGGGTACGGACCTGCGGATCACCCTAGCCTCCTCCTGCAGACGGGGGCGGATGGGCCCCTGCTGCTCTCGGGGCCCCAGCGACCCCGGGGAGCCGCCCCCCCACCACAGAAGGGGCCCAGGCGTGCAGCTCCCCCCTCCTTGAGGGACCGGGAGGGTGCCCACATCCCTGGGGCCCAGCCCAGGCGCACCATCCTAGGAGGACTCCTTCCCCCATATTCTTTTGCTGGGGACCCAGGCGTCCGGGGCCCTCCAGCCTGCCCCGAGGGCCGATCCCATCACTCCCGAGCCCCCCGCGGCGTGCAGATGGGGAGCCCCCCGCCGCTCACCCGAGAGCCCCCGCCGGGGCAGGTGCCGCTTGTAGTCGATGGGGCCGTAGCCGCCGGGGGGCGGCATGTCCTGCTTCACCTTCCCGGCCGCCTCCGCCATCTTGGAAGCGGCCCGGCGCGCTCTCCCTGACGTCAGTGGCCGCCGTCCCCCTTTGATGACGCTCGGCGCGAGGCCCCGCCCCTGCGACTGAAAACCCGGTTGCCGTATTTATACGTCGATGGGCGCACGGGCGGGAAAACCCGAGCTGCCGCCGCGTCTGTTGCCTTTGCATCAAACATGCGGGCCGCGCGGGATGAGTGCGGCTCCTGAGCATGTGCAGAGTACTCATCTTCGCAGAGCAGAACTTAAAAGGACAATGTGCCCCAGCAGATGACATTTAATAGATGACGACACGGTCTTCAACAGACCAAGTCGCTCCGAATTTCCCCAGGAGAGCGCCTGCTGCGCTCCAAATATTGGGCACTACAACCCCCAGCATCCGTGGCAGTCATGCAAGCTAGCACTGCCCTAAGCCATACTCTCTGTGCTCTTGGCGTGCAAGTCCCATCAGCCCTCAGCATGGCCTTTGCCCCATGCTGGCTCCTTGCAGTGGTGCTGAGCCGACATTCTCCGTGCTGGCTGAGATTTGTAGTCCAATGCACCCGGAGGGCATCCCAGTGGGGAAGGCCTGCCCTCGCGGGACCTGCAGGGATGCAGGCGGGGGCTATTTCCAGCGCGGCGCGGAAACAGCACAGGGGAGAGAACCTCTTCTGTGTGCCCAGCAGGGATTGTGTGTATTGTTCAACTATTTTCCATATTATTTAACAATAAAGGCCACCCAAGACCCATTGCAGGAAACTGCTTGACTTACAGGTGGTTTTAAGAATAGCGCGCTCTTTCCCCATCTGTTTTATTCGGGTTTAAGATGCACGTGGAAAGCTGGCTGCACACCCAAGATTTGCCAAGCCAAGAGGGGCTTAAAGCAGGGCTGAATCGACCCAGGTGGAGGCTCTCCAGAAGGTGATGCCTTTGCCCGAAGCTGGCTTCCCCTGACCAAACAATAAGGCTGAAATGCTTTTGCCCTTAGAGAGAAGCATCTCCAACAGAGGAGCGGGTTCCATTTTTAATGCTTTATTTTCCAGGCTTCCAAACCAACAGGTCCCACTCGATCTCTGGCATTGCTTGTTTTGCTTTTCCTCCCACTCATTAGGAAATGTTTCCCAAGCATTTTTCTGCTCCTTCCTAGCTGTCATTTTTCTTTGGGAGGGGTGAGCATTCCTGCATCTGGTCAACCCCCCCCCCCAACTCCAGAATACAGGTAAACCCAAGCCCTGTCCACATCTAGGAAATTCTGCACAGATGCCCACAATTAAGAAAGAGTGATTCATACCAAATCAGGCCAGTTCTGCAGGAAGGGAGACAGGAATGTGAAATTCAAGGATGCGTCAACAGCAATGTTGCCAGCTGATTGGTTTCTGGCCCATTTTGACCACTTGCCGGGGTCAGGGGTTTCCCAGGAAGGTTGAAGCAGCTTCAGAAATCAATCTGACTCAGAATTCTTTAAGGCAGGCTGGGAAGAATCCGTAGTCTACTGCACATGGGACTCAAACTCCCAATAGCCCCAGGCTGTCAGGGATTATAGCAACCACAGTCCAAGTGCAGGAGGGACCCAATCGCTTGGTTTTGGGCTCTGATGAGTCCACAATGGCCTAAGCATTCCCAAATATGCTGCCTTCCAGATACTGGCTTGCATGGCCAATGGAAACTGTATTCTCAAACATCTGGACTGATTGGAGAAAACGACATTAGCTTCAACATTTATATCACAGTTGTGCATACATGAGAGAGAAAGAGAGAGGAAAGAGAGAGAGAAAGAGAAGACTAAAATATCCCAACTATTTTTATTTGAAGCAAAACCCAGTCAGAATGGCTGTATTTAAACCGGATGTTAAGGGGAAGAAGAAAAGCACATTGAAACTCTCAACAAGCAAACCAGCTGCTGTTTTTCTATCCACAAACTCACATTTTCCCCATTTGAATTTGGGGGCTATTCAGCAAGAAGGTAAGTAGTAAGGATTGCTACTCAAAGGTCAAATAGCTCCATTGAAATACCAAAGCTTACAGAAAAGAGGAAAAGGAATTAGAAGGCGCTCTTTATTACAATGCATCAGTCTCCTCGGAAAAGGGGTTTTGGGTTCTGTACAGCAATACAGAATTTTTATTTTTATTGGAAATCTCTAACGTGCACTAACAAAATACCAGGCCTCTCCTGAAAAAGGTCCAACTGTTCGGCATTAACCTCTCCCACTCTTTAAATAGAGATATATGTATAAATTTATATATATTTTTTTGCAGTTAACCCCTCATATCAGCACTAGTACCAACATTTTACTAAGAATAGCAATTTCAAAAGTCTCTACTTTAGAGCAACAACAAAAGATACACACCATGGGGGCGGAAGGGGAAACATGGAGTTCTCGTGTTTTGGGAGTTCGAGGCTTTTTTGAAAGCATAATTTGAAGCAAAAATTAGCCAAGGTGCTGCCAGCAAAAGGAAAAACAAGAGCGCATTTCAACGCCTCTGTGTTTGAGCTGTGGGAACAAACGTAGTCCACCCAGGAACTGCCATGGCTGAGTGTGTGCTTTGCACCTCACACTGAGTGCAGGTTGTTACCGCAATGTCTGAACCCAAGATCGCAGGGTTGCTTACAGGTGAACAAGCTCATGATTGCCTGGCTTTGCTGCTGGGTTAACATGATGTTGCTTAACCCCTAAACAGCACCACGTTCCTCAAGTTTGGATGTCAGGCTGTTCCTGACGAGAACCTAAGAGGCAGTGTTCTCAACACATAAGATAGCCACCACAATTCCTAGTTTAAACCACCTGGGAACTGTTCTGTGCAAAAAACTGGGTCACGGAGAATGACTTTCCTGTGGGGAGCTGGGGTGGATGCTGGGTTGGGAACTGCAGCTTCTTACGACCACCTTGTGCTTGTTAAAACCACCGACCAGTCCTACCGTTGTTCAGGCGCACGGCAGGCAGCCATTCTCTTCTCACCCCAAAAGTGGCAGCAATGGAGACAAGAGCACTTTGTCTCGTTGTGTTGTTTTATTAATTTTTTTTATAACACAAACTTCTTTCACTCATCTGGTCCCTTCTGCTCCACATAACTAAATTGCACTGTTCCTAGACAGCCAAGTAAAAACTTCGCAAAAAAAGAAAGCAACCAAAAGAGGGGTGGGGAAGAGAGGGGAAGGGCCCCCAACACTTTTTTTTTCTAACAAACCTCTCCTCCCTGCTCCCCGACCCTTTTTCAAACCATCTTTGGGAACGTGGGGCAAAAACAATTGAAAACAAAACAAAAAAACCAACCCCCCAAAACCAACAACCAAAATCCCCACCCGAACCCAACTGTTCATTTTATCCAGATTACGGATATTTCGCAACGCCACTTCATAGAAACTGTTCTGTAACTTTTAGGCTATCAAATGTCCAGGGCAAAATATCCGTCTGAAACAGTTAAGCTACTTTATTTCTTAGAGAAAAAAAAAAAAGACGCAAGCTTCCATGTTCGGTCGCTCCATCTCTTCTGGTGGCGGTGAGTCCGTTTGTATTTGTTCATAATATAAGTTATTATTGGATTTTAAAAAAAAACCCAAAAAACAAAAACCAGGACACCAGTCCCCTGCCATCCGTCAGTCTTTATAATATTGCCTCGTCGGGAACTATGGAGTGGGGCGGGGGGTGGTAGAAAAAAGAAAAAAGAGACAAGAAACTCGTCCACACGTGCTAACTCCTTCCCCCTTTAGGGCCAGGTCCCAATTCTGCTTTCTGTGAGCGGGATTGTGTGTCCATGATCGCGAACGACAGTTGCACGATCAACCAAAAAGGAAAAAAGCAAAATTAATCTAAAAGTTACCTTAAAAAAAAAAAAACGTTAACGTAAGGCGCAGGAGAGGGGGAGACCAAAAGCATCCGAGAGCACACGACTTGAGCAATGCCTCATTCTGTACTAGATGCCGTTCATAAAATATAACTCCCCAAACTAAAGAGACAAAATACACAAAGGAAAAATAATAATAATAATAATAATAAACAAGATTCTCCTCTCTGAGACAGGCTTGGCCGTTGCGGAAACAAAACGAAAAGACGGTGTGAGATTTTGGTAGGCCGACGTTTCATCACCACCCGTGTGAGCGTCCGCCCCACCCGACAGGTAGCGTTTCTGACCCAGGTGGGCCTTCCTGCAAACCCAGCTAGGCTCAAAAGCCAGTTTTCCACCGGGGTGGGGTCTTGGAGGGAGCAGGGGAAGAAGGGCAGAAGAATCAAGTGGGGAGGGGAAAGAAAAAACCCCCCCATGAGATGCTGGAAGGGCAGAAGTCAAAGCAGGGCTGCGGCGTTATTTCCATGTGGCGGACTGAGGGATGGATCGTGGCGGAATCATATCCAGAAGGTACTCGCGCTGGCGGTCCACGGCCGAAGGGGTTGTTTTGTGCACCGTGAGACTGGGGTTCATGAAGTTCAGAGCCCCACCTGCAAAGAGGAAACCCGAGGGTCACAGGTATGCCAGTGCATGGCCTAGGAGCTAGATGGAGCTGACACTCATTCTAGCAACGAGAACAAGGAAGTGCTCCCAAACCAGACCGGAATCCCAGAGGACAAGAGGGGGTGCAGACATGCGGGGAGAATCCCCGAAGATTAGGGTGCAGTCTTAGCCGTGTTTAGACGGAAAGTCCGGGAATGCTGGGGATTCCTGGACTTCCTTTCCTCCTGGGCTTGGACACACTGGGAATTGCTGGGCTTCTCTTCTGCTGGCTGGGGAAGAGCTGGGAGCTGCAGGGAGTTTTCCTATCAGAACACACACAGGATTGTGCCCCGAGAGGTGTGCGAAATGACTCACATGGGCCCCGCTTGTTTCTGTGTATACAAGCAGGCTGGACCTGCTAGGGGTCCCCAGCCAGCCTGGCCACAGCGACCAAGCTGAGGGAGCCGTAACTCCAGAATTCTGGGGAATGCAAGGCGGAGGGTTGTGAACGTGTCCCAAGGAAGCCAGGTGCAGCGGGGGCGCATTTCAACGCTCCTCCCCAGCCCATGCACTGCGGGACAAGGGAAGGCGCCATTCTCAAAGCCTTTCTCCAGCACTGGGACCTTCCAGGCGCAAAGCACGGAGACAGCCGCTGAGCTCTGCCCACTTCTGCAAGGGGACTCGAGGAGGGCGACTGTGGGACAGAAGACTTGCACAGGGCCACCATTCCTGGCACTGGCTTGCTGTGCCGGCGGCGGGCAGGGCCCACGGACAAGAGACCCCCACGACACACAGGGCTGGGATGCACTGGGCAAGCAAGGGTTTCCCCGCTCACGCCCGGCAGCACTGTCCTCCGTGACGGGACTGTCCTGAGAGCACGACCTTCAGCTCCGGTTAATGGAAGGCGGTGCCGTCAGTGGACACGGAGGAATGAGGTCTCAGTTCCTGGGACAAGCCTGATCCTTGGTGGGGCCATGGGAGTCGGTGTGCAAGAGGCGGGGAGCCTGTGCTGAAGAGGGTAAGCATTTGTCTCAGCACTTGGCTGGAAACTTGCAGTGGCACCTCAGCTCAGAAACGCCTCAGTTCGCAACCAAATCGGGCCACGAATTCCGTACAGATTTTTGACTCAGGTCGCAAATTCCACACTGGGTGGTGACCATGCTTGCAGCCATCTCCCCGCCCCCGCAAGTGGGGAAAGGCCACGATCACCGTCGCGCTCCTGCAGGAAGCGAAGACAGGCGCCATCGTGGTTGTGCTCAGGGGCTGGGGAGATGGCCGCGATCGTGGCGGGGCGGCGAGGGGGGGACCTGGCCAAGATCTCGCCTGTCTTTCCTGCACGAGCGCACCTGTGATTGCACCTGTCTCCCTCCCAATGCACTTGCGATCTCGCCCATCTGCTCCCCCCCCCCCCCCCCCCCCCGGGGGGGGGGCGGGGCGGGGGGGGGGGGGGGGGCGGCGTCCTGCTTGGGGGGGGGGGGGGTGACGGTCATCTTTGTTGTTGTCAACAACATCAACAACATCTTTGTTGTTGTCACGTTGTTTCAAATTTTTCTGATTAAAAAAAATAGTTACAGAGAGGATTAACCTTATTGCCATGGAACCTTATGGGGACATTTAACTTGGCTCACAACCAATTTGGGCCACGACCAGAGTCCTGCAACGGATTAAGTTCGTGAGCCGAGGAACCACTGTAATTGAGCAACAATACATCATCCTATTCTTAGGAACAGTTTCTGTACTGGTTAGGAATAAGGGAATGTGCTTTTTAAAAATTTAAATCCACTTAATAAACCAGTTAGAACCCTCAATTAAAGTGCCCACATTAAATAAGTTAGAAGTTCAATAAACAGCCCCAAAGAAGCCCAACAAAAGAAAGCAGAGAGGTTTCCCAAGAGCCATGTTCCCTCTGCTGGAACAGTTTTCTCCCAGTTGGTGCCACCCAGATTTCTTGGACTACAATTCCCACGGCTGCCCAGGGATTCGAACATATCTGGAGAGCTCCAAGCTGGGGAACTAAGCTGAGCGCCACCCACGATGCTTTGGAAGAGCAAACAGAGGGCCGTGCATACCCAGAAAGCTTTGCAACTGCAGATTCACCCAGAAGGAGAAAGAGGAAAGTCACAAAGAAAACACCCTTCGCACCCCGAGAGAGCCAAGGTTTGCTTCTTTCAGAAAGAATGCCGGCCGGACAAGGGAGCGCGGCCAGCAGCGGCGACAAAGACAGAGAGGTCCCGAGAGCAAGTCATCTACCTGTGTTGCCGAGAGTCTTCTTCCAGGTGTGAACACCGCCCTTGCCGATGGGTCTCTGAGCACGCTTACCTTGCCTGCCACCAAGCACGGCCACACCGGAGGCGTTCTGCAACTTGGGCGACGGGCTAAATGCATGCAGGACTCCGCGGGGACTGCCGACACTTCGGGGCAGCTGGCTGGAGGCCTGCCGGGGGAGCGAGACCGGCGGAAGGGAGATCAGAGACACGGGGCCGGAAACGCGGGCGGCCTCGTTTCAGGATGCAAGTTATGGGGCAGACAACACTCCTGATAAGCGGACGTGGCTTGTGAGCGCCCTTCACCCTCCTTCCTAAGTCTCTGGGCTGCGACAGGAGTCATGTTGGCTGGGGGTGGCCATCGGAGGGAGGAGGATGCTGGGAGCTGTAGTCCAATACACATGGAGGGCCTTTCTCGGGAAGACCAACCAGGTATCCTCGCTATATATGCTTCGACACCTGGCCAAGACCTTTCCCTTCCAGCAGGGACTTAATCTTCTTTTTAGTAACTTATTAACTTACATCCCACCTCTTCTTTCCAAGGAACTCAGCCACCTACCACTTTCTCCTCCTCCTCTCCACCTTATCCCCACAACAACCCTGTGAGGTAGGCCGGGCTGAGAGTTGGTGACTGGCCCAGAGTCTCCCAGTGGGCTCCATGGCCGAGCGGGGACTCAAACCCGGATCCCCTCAGCCCGGTCTCCCATTGCGAAGCACAACACCACACTGGCTCTCTTCAACAAGTCGTTTTCTGAGGTGTCTAATAATTTTAATGTTTTCAAACACGTTGGTATAGGCTGTGCTTTATTTCTTGTCATTCATGCTTGTGTGGGTGGGTGCTAGGACTGTGAAGTGCCAGGGGGCATTTCCCAGTTTGGGGGTACATGCATTTCATGACACAAATGACGAAAATATCAAATAGGACCTGGGGCACTCATGAGGCACCCATCCCCCCCATCAACATGCCCCGCCAGGGCCGTCACCAGGCGGCGCATCCCAGGTGCTTCTGCAGGGATCCAGAGGAGGGCCTTCCTGGGGGTGGCCTCTTTCCTGTGGAACTCCCTGCCTCTGGAAGTCAGGCAGGCGCCAGCCCTGGGTTGTTTCCTGCGCCTCCTGAAAGGACCTTTGACTCAGGAGGCCGGCTTTGGCCGCCGAGCCGCCGTTTTCACTGGCCCGGCCTCCCCGCGAAGAGCTCGCCCCCGCTGCCCCGCACCCACCTGCTTGAGCGAGTGCTGGTGCTGGCCGATCTGCTCGGGCTTGCTCTGGACCGGGGAGGCGGCCTGCTGCAGTATCCGCTGCTCGATCTCCTGCTCCTGCTGCAGGGCCTTGACGAAGGCGGCCTTGAGCCGGCTGGTGTGCTCGGCCTTGAGCGCCTTCTTCAGGTTGGAGGACATGCAGGTCTCGCACATGATGGAGCCGCCCTTCTCCTCCCTCCAGCGGCAGGTGAAGTCTGTCTTGCACTGGACGCAGGTGTAGGGCTCCTGCGAGGAGGGGGCGGTGGCCGTTTTGCCTGTGGGAGACACCGAGGGGCGGTCAGAACCAGCCTCCGGCCCTGGAGGGGCTCGGACCCCTGAAGGGTGCTGCAGGGGGAAGGAAGCAGGGGGGAGGGACCGGCGGAGCCCCCGACGCTCCTGCTTTTGGGCTTGGATATTCCCAATCCTGCCACCCGCAGAGCGAGGGAGCGCATGGTGTTGGCGGGCGTGGGACTCCTTGTCCAGGGCAGCCCCCATCCTGAGCCTGGGAGGAGCTGTCCCTGGTGCTGAGCTCTGGAGTGGTGTCAGGAGTTCAGCACCAAGGACAGCACCCCCGGAGCTAAAATGAGCGCTGCAGGGGATTAAGGGGCCCTGAGGGACGTCACCCACAGCCCCCACTGAGAGACGGTATCCAGTGCACTCTGCATGCAGAGCAGGAACTCCATCACAACGCAGGGGGTGTTCCCCGAAAAGAGAACTGTGGCATGCTGGGATGAGATGGTGTAACGTTCTCGAATATTTGCTTGTCTAAGATTTCAGTTTGTTCTTAAATAGGTTTTTAATTAAAAAAAAACATGTTACTAGTCCTTATGGCTGCCCTTAATGAAAAACAAAAAACAAAAAAGGTTTCTAGTCCTTATGACTGAGAAGACGTGCTTGAGAGAATGGTCAGCCTCTGCCAAAAGGGGGGCAGGTAGAAATTTCTACTGGTTTACCCCACACAGATATTGGCCCTGCAACTACCAAACCCATGCAAGAAGTTTGTTTGAGAAGCTGGGGAAAATGACCCCTGCCAGGGTATGTGACTCAATCTTTTCTTGGTGCAGAATTTTAACACGGCACACGCCGTCTGCAGAGGTTCCCGAAGAATGCTTTTAGAGCGGCTTTTCCTGGCTGAGGACAGCATCCAGGCTGCTGTACCCATCATCCCCAGGCGAGCAGGGACAACGGCCCACACAGAGTGGCATATGGGGACCCCGGGCTGGGAAGGGCCAACTCAAAGGTTGTGGCTCACCTTGGGCCTCGAGCAAGTTCTGCACCACCTCTTCCAATCCAACCAGGTAGATGAACTCATTGTTCGCCGCGCTGGGCAGGAAATTCATTTCGGGCGCCGGGGGCTTGGGAGGGGGGATCTCCAGCAGGGTCTTTTCCAGCTGCTTCCGCAGGGCCAGCTTGGCGGCCGCTTGGCGGCTGGCGGGGGAGTCGTTGGAGTTGACGATGGAAGCCACGCTGGTCGTGGTGGCCGCAGCGTTCGCCTGTGCCGACGTCACGGCGGTGCCTTTGAGTGAAGTCGGGGAGGGCTGGGTGGGGAGAGAACGGGGCGCGTTTCGCATGGACCGCCTCGACCAGGGGAGGGGGCGACCCTGCCGTGCGCACTGAACCTCGAGGTTTGCCCTGCTTGGACTTCGGCCTTCCCGAAGACCAAACCTGGCCAGCACTTGGCTCACCCGGGGGCCAAATCCAGCCCTTGTGGCCCTCGCTGCCTTAACCCCAAAGTCCCTCCGGCTTGTTGAGGGCTTAGGAAGAAGGCAGGTGGAAAGGCTGATGCTCCGGCACCTCCTCATTACCCAGTCCAGCAGGTAACAAGAGGAAGGGGCACCAGCAAACAAGACCCACGCAGGGAGAATCGGCCCAGTGGGCTCCCCCAGGTCCTTTCCTTCGGGAACAGGACTCAGCGAGAGAAGCGGCGAAGCCACGTCCCCCCCGGAGCTGCCGCAACGCTCACCCCTCGACAACCTCAGTGCGCCTCGGGCTCACCTGCGGGATGTTCACCAGCAGGCTGGCGTTGGGGACGTTGGCGACGCGGATGAGGCCCTGCTGAATGATCCGCTGGCCCTGGATTTGCACGCTGGGGACGGACGCCCGTGGGGCCAGCAGGAGCGGCGGCGGCCCTGAGCTGGAGTGCTGGCGGATGTTGTGGATTTGCTGGGGAGACACAGAAAGGGGCTGATACGGATGGATCCATGAGAACAGGGTTGGGGGAGGGAATGGAGCAGCGCAGGTGAGGGGAGGAGGGGGAAGAAGGGGAAAAAGAGAGAGAGAGGAGGAAGAACAGAGGGGAAGAATGCAATGCGAGAGGGGCAAAAACGAAAAAAGAAAGGTGGAAGAAGACAGACATTTAAAACCAAGAAAAATGCAAAAAAACAGCAGAAAAGTTGTCTTTATTTCTGCAACGGGCACCAAGATACATTTGGTGTTCAACAGCCTGCGCGAAACTTGCCAAAGCAAGCAAGCAGTCTTCCCCTCTGCTTCCCAACCCTAAATCATGCCTCCCCACCTTGGTGCCCACGCTCCACAGAGGTGTAGGACTGCAACACCCATCATTCCTAACCTGAATGGCCAAGGCCCCATCTCATTCCCAGACTAGGAATCTCAAGTCCAGTAAGAGGGGCCTCCAGACTGGTTAGATCACAACGCCAATTGTCCCTAGCCATGCAGGCTGGGATTGATGGGAAGGGAGTCCAACATCGACAGAGTGGAGGTAGATGTATGTTCTGTGCTATATTTTGGAATTCGACTTGCTTTTGTTGGGCTTAAAATTCTGATCTGTTGACCACAGTAAAGAACAGGCCGCTGCCGTCCTCCCCAGGCCGGCGCACTCTGGCGAACCCTGACCTTCAGCAGCCACGACAGTCGCCACCTGGAAGAGCCTGGAGCTGCAAGACCCCACGCAGATGGATCGCAGCTCTCCCGTGCTCAGGAGAGCGGCCTTTCCCTTCCTGTTGGGCGTGGACGGCTGCACACCTTCTTCCCCCAGAGCAGGTGCTCGGCTCACCTGTGCTCCTCGGACCAGAGGCGGCATTACAATCTGTGTGTTTTGCTGGGAGCCCAGTTTCGAGGAGACCTGTTGCCCGCCGCGGATCAACGGGGGAGGAATAACGGCCCCGGGAATCCGTGAAGAAGGGTTCTGTGGGCGCCAAGGAAGAAAGAGGCGGCTCATTCAGTGGGAGCTCGAAGCAGGGCTGGCCTCACAGAGGTCCGCCTGCCCATCCAACGGGGACTTATTAATCTCAGAACAATCGTTCAGCTTTCGCCAGGAAGGATGCGAAGGAATGACCCGCCCCAGACCGCAAAGAGGCTGCAAGAGTTCCTGGAAGCGGCATAGGCCACGACAGATGTCCGCCAAAGAAGAGAGGCAGTTATTTTGCGGTGACTCTGTGCTGGATGCCGGTGTGCCATTCCTTGCCCACTGCGCATCGCCACTCTGGCCTGGCCTGCCCTTCCCCACAAGCTGCATCCTTCCCTGGGCTAGACTAGCACACTCAATCCACCCTGATGCAGCTTCACGGCAGAATTATCCCATCCCGGATGAAGCATGCCCGTTGCACCTCTGTGTGAGTCACAGCGCTGAGCTTCCCTCCAAGCAATTCGCAATGCAAAGCATGGAGCATGCAGATGGCAAGTTCAAACGCACATAAGCACAAGCCCCAGCCGGACTGGCATCCACCTGCGATGGTGAACTGGCCAGCCGGTCGAACCGATCCGTCGCTACAAACGGCTCAGAGATGGCGGCTTTTGCAGAGCTGGGTTAAAGAGCCCCCAAGAGAACAGCTTCCCATTCCCCGATCCACTGACCTGCAGAAGAGCCGACTTGCTGGATACCAAGTTTTGTGTGCCCCGTACTAATGGGGGAGGTGTGGCCACAGCATTTCCTGAAGAGCCCACGGGCTGTACGGGATGTGAAAGGAGACAGAGAGGAGAAAAGCAGAGAGGTGGGTTAAAGGAGGGACGGAAAACCTTCCTGTCGAAGGCCACGGCATTCCCAAGCAGACAATCTGTCGACAGGCAGCGGCACTGATCCAAAGGTGCTTTGGTTGTGCCTCTTCTCTCTCTCTCCCTGCACAGAGGTGGCCAGGGAAGAAACAAGCCACTCTTGCATGCCGAAAATCGAGCTGAGGACCACCAATTCTGGACCACTGCGTCAGAGAGCCACGAGCCAAGTAGCTCTTCTCTTAGCAGCTTCCCTCAGGCACCCTGCACTTTCCCGTCCAGCCCCGATCAACTCCAAGATGTCACAAGCCCACTGCTCGGTCCTGGGGAATCCTGCGCATGGGACATGGCTGTCGGCACCTGGAGCTCACGATGCACAGCTACGGAACGTATGTGGCTATCAAAGCCAAGAGGAGTGCTCAGCCGGCAGTGTCTTTCCGCCAGAAAAACCACATCCGGCCTCCTGGAATGCCATGATGCCACCCGGGCCTGGTCCTGAGCCACAGAACGACGCTCAGGGTAAGAATCTTGAATCAGCTACAAATGCGTTTTACTAAAAAGGGGGCAAATCTATGGAGGTGTGATCCATTGGTGGTGACACGATGGCCAGCACAGGCACCTCCAAGTTCAAAAGCAGTCTATCTCCTGCCAAATCGGCATCGAAGATAAGGAACACAGGATGACCATGCCTTGATGCCAGGGTACCCATGAGGCATCTGGCCAGCTTGCGAGGAGGAAAGGTCCAATCCAGCAGGGACGGTCCCTGACGTTCCGTTCAGCTGTGCCACAAATTGTGGAATGAGGTTTCCACACCGTGTGACAATGAAAAACATTGTCCAGGCGGCAGAAGGTGCTGTTCCTATTTTGCTGCTGTCCTGGTTGTGATGTTTGTAATTATTTACTGGTTTGCACTGTTCTTAGATTGCTTTTACACATTTTTTTCCTACTGCTCTTGGAACCACATAAGATGTTTAGATTGTTGTTAGTTGCGAAGTCGCATCAGACCCATCACAACCCCACGGACAACACTCTTCCAGGTCCTTCTGTCCTCCACCATCCCCCAGAGTCCACCTAAGCTCACACCAACTGCTTCAGGGACTCCCTCCAGCCACCTCAGCCTCTGCCGCCCCCTTCTTCTTTTGCCCACAATTGTTCCCAGGATTGATGTTTAGCTAGTACGTGGTTTAAAAGTTGTGTGTGTGTGTGTAGAATTAGTATGTAATTGGGTTGTTCTAAGGGCTGTTGCTTGATCTCATGCAGTTCATTTTGGTTTTTCCTTTTTTACCACCCCAAAGGTATTTTGCTCAGATGTTCTATGTCAGCTTCTCAAGCTACATGCTTCTCTGCTGCCTTTCAGGAATCAGCTGATAACGTTTTTTAAAATCTTGCAAAATGCAATATCCAGGGAATGAGAAAAGCCCCTTAGGCCTTCAGTGTGGCTCAGCTGGTGGTTGACTGTCTGGAGTGAAACTCAACCCCTTTCACCCCCTTTAATGTTTCGCTCGCTACTTGCTTTGCTTCTCTTCCAAGGTTTTCAAGCTACACCACAAAACAATCTTTCTCTGTGTTTAAAATAATTTCAGATTTTCCAGCAGCTCAGATATTTGTCTTCTGTTGCTGCTTTTACTGCCTTACTTCTTCCAAGGATGCAATCGGCTTTATTGTGTCTGTTCTTGTGACATATGTCACTCTGAGAGCTTCATAAACTTAATCAATTTAAACAACATACACTATTATGTCACAACAGCAAATGCTACTAGACGGATTTATTTAACAGCCGGAGATAACAAGGATGTTTTTCAAGACTGCTTAAATGCAAGCTCTCGGGTAGCGATTCCAAAGGGCAGCGCCTCCTCCGTGGTGGCCCCATATCTGAGCAGAGTCTAGTCAGGGTTTAGCTGGGAACCTGTGTCAAGATTCACCTGCCTGAGTGGCAGGTTATAAATGGCGCTTAGACATACCTTTTGAGCTGTCGTCTCCTTTTGTATCTGACTTTGTCGTAGCTTTTTCAGCAGCACGAGTTTGGCTTCTTCTAACCGCAGCTCTTCCTTGAGCTGTTTGATCATTCGCTCCCGCTCTTCGGGGCTGCTTTTCTGCAAGGGTGGGAAGAAAGGGCGACCAAAATTACGTTTCAGCTGGGCAAGGAGGGCTTGGGGGAGTTTGGGGGAGCAGTTTTAAAGGCAAAGAGGGAGAAAAAGAGAGAGGGAGTTGCATAGCTCTGGAGAACCTTACCCATTCCATCTTTGAGCTCTCAGGCCTCGTTCCAGCGATAAGTGTCCCCAAGGGCAAAAGGAGGAGGACCAAAATATTCACGTCCTTTTGATTTAAAGCTTGAATAACCAATAACTAAGGTCTGGGATAGGCACTTCAGCCTTTTTGGAATGGGGGAAAAAACTGCACGGAAGCCAGAAACCTGCCAGACAATTGTTGGTTCTGGGAGAGGGGTCGTACCCTTTGGGGAAGTCCAGAAAGTTAGGCCAGGATGCCCAGAAGACTGCACTAACACCCTGGTTTAAGCTTCTGCAACTATTCTGTGGATCGGAGGCAGCGAGAGAATGCTCTCGCATCGCTCGCTCAGGCTGTGGCTACAGACAAAAAGGGCAGCCAGGGTGGGGTCTTTCAGCAGCTCCGCTCTAGAAGCTGCAGAGCGTGGCATCTACATCAAGATCAAGGCAGAACAGTGGGGCAGGCAGGACTGTGAGCAGGAAGGGTCTGTGCTGCATGCAGGAGGGGACGGGAAGCCAGCAAAGACGCTCGAGGAAAAGCATCACACGGCTGGAGCCACGCGAGGGCCGAGCCCTCCTAGGAACAAGGTTTGGGGGCAAAGAACACAGGGCAGAGTGCAAAGAGGGGATGAAGAAATCAAGGCAGGGAATGGCCGGAGCTTTAGCTGCGTCCAGGCCCACACGCCGAGGAGAGAGACGCAGCCGTTCCTTTGTGGGACTCACCATCAGCACTTCTGCACTGGTCTCTTTTAACGCTATTTTCGTCAACCCGTTCATTCTCGGGCTTGATGGCTCGTTGTCTGATAGTACTATCACGTCGGGAGACGGAACTCTCCTCTCCCGCTTTGCATCACTGGAGGCATGGCCCAGAAAGGGAGGGGGGTAGAAAACAGAACTGTTTTAAGAAGGAAAACTAATAAATCACAGAATGACCCACTCTCAGAATGCTCATGTTTACTTTCAGGGCCCTGCCTGAAGCTTTACAGCAACGTATAAACAAGCTCCCATATTCAGGATTCTAGTCCTTATGAAGGCAAAGAGTATGGACAAATGCCAGCTCCAAACTCAGATTCCGAAGCTGTATACTCGAATAGAATTCCCAGTCATTGAGGGCCTTAATGACCCAGAGAAAAGCACAGCCTTTCCAAACAGTGTTCTGTCTGGTGTGCCATACCACAACTCCTATCATTCCTGGCAGGTTGAGGATGATGAGAGTTGCATCACAACACTGACTGGGGAAGGCTGGGATAGCTCTTTGTCCTTCCCCCTGCCTAGGCAACCAGAATAAAATTAAGCCAAGTTGTACATGAATTGTATGAAGAATGCCGATGTCTTGCTTGTACACAGGGGAAACGATTCAGCTCTTTGAGGCACAGAACTGGGATTCCCTAGGTAGAGAGAATCTCTTTTTAAAAAGGTAAGAAAGCAGCAGACATGTTCAGGGGGGAGGGGACTTTCCCATGCAGGTAATGGTATAGATGGGACCTCCCAGGAAAGGCACCCAAGAACAACTTCTATCCCAGAGGAAATTTTTTGAGAATTTAAGGAGGATGTGCTTGTGAGAAGGCAGTCATACTTTGCTGATTCTATAGAGGGCACCCTAATACAAGCAATGCCAGCTCTGAACTTTAATAATAATAATAAAAAGCCCCAAATTCAGACACAAAGGCACAAAAGGAGGCTGGGGAATAAGGGTCATTACCTGATCCCCCTTCCCCACTTCTTAACAAAACACTAGAATGGACAGAATTCACAAAAGGTGCTCCTACAACTGAGATTGGTTTGTGTAAAAATGATTTTGTCTCAAGCAAGTCCCCTGCAAAAATTCACTTATTCCTCTCTTTCTTTCTTTTTTAAATAGAGAACTTAAACTGCAGTTAAACAATTCAGTTGTTTAACGTAACTGCAGTTAACCATTCATAAAAAATGTCATGCTTCTAGAGACCAACTCTGGCTCTGTATTGCACTGAGCAAATCTGAGAGGAAAACATCCAAACACCATTAAAATGAGCTTTTATGGGCTGCCCAAACACCACCACCTTTCAGAAAGCCTGCTTTCCTTTCTTTCGCGCTACCAATAAATTTTGCCACATGCCAGCTGTTTGTTCTCCACCAAACCCACAACCAACATCTGGGCTCCAAACATAAAAAGCATTTCCGGTGCTTATTAATTTATTTCATTTCTATGGCACCCACAAGCCCAAAACGGTGGTTCACAGATGTTTGGGCCCACAGCTCCCATCAGCCCCTACGTCATCAAAGCCAATGGTGAGGGATCATGGGAAATGTAGGCCAGACATCTGAAGGGTGCCATTATCCACCTGGCTGGCACGGAAAGACCTCTGGTCCTGAATAAGTGTCCACATCATGGGAGGTTGGAGAAAACACACCTGGCCACCCAGGAGTCTTGGGATGAAAACTCCCATAATGCCTCTGGGAGGGGAGGCATGACGATTCGGACCCCTGGGGCACCCCATCCCTCCTCTGGGATAAAATAACCCATCTCCACCATTCACCATGGCCTCCTGTCCAAGAGGAAACGAGGAAAGATTGCAGCACGAGAAATCGCTGAGCTCAGAAACAGGGCGAGGAAGCGGAGACACGACCAAGGTGTGTAAAAGGCTGCCAGGTGAGGAGAAAGTGGAACGGGATAATTTTTTTCCTCCCCCTCCTACAATACTAGAACCCAGAAGACGACAAGCCAGCAAGCAGATGGGCAGAAGATCCAAGGAAGGGCTTCTGGACACAGTCCAGAGCCCAGTTCAGGGCTGGTCACCCTTTTGGACGGCTTTCAATAAGGACAGGAAAAATTCATGGAAGGTATCCAAAGCTGCTAGTCCTCATGGCTGTAGGATGCCTCCAGTAGCAGAAGCCCAGGTATACCTGTTGCTGGGGAACATGGCAGAAGGCTGCTGCTGTACTCCTATCCTGCTTGTGGGTTTCCCTTTGGGGCAGCTCCATGAACTAAATGGACCTTGGGCCTGATCCGTATCAGGGCTCTTCCCAAGGGGGTGGTACATGAAGGGTGGGACACATGTCCCAATCCCAGAGAAACCCGACCTCAGTGGGCAGATTCAGGCAGGCTGCAGCGCACCACCAAAATGGTCAAGGATGCCCCGGTTTCAAATTTATTTATTTAAGACTTTTGTATACCACCCCATCACTGACGTCTCGGGACGGTTCACAAGAACATCAATAAAATAGGATAAAGAGAAAAAAGTAGCACAGCATCCAATAATAAATATAAAACCACAAATCAAGACAATTAACAATTAAAATAGTGGGAAAATTAAAAGGGTTTCATCCGGCATCAAAAGGAAAAAAATGCTGGTGCCAGGTGAAGCTCTCTGGGAGTGTGTTCTACAGTTGGAGGCCACCACAGAGAAGGCCCTCCTCTGAGTAGCCACCCTCCTGATTTCCTTCAAAGAGTGCTCCTGGAGAAGGACCTCCGGCCCAGATCTCAAGGGGCGGGAGGGCACACAGGAGAGAAGGCGCTCCTTCAGGTATCTGGCCTCTCCAGGGAAGGCCAGCAAAGCCACACAGGTGTTGCTGGTCCGAGTGGATCGGCCTCCTTGCAGATGTGTGCAACTACATCTCCCAGCACCCCCAGGAGGATGGAAGCTGCAATTCCACACATCTGCAGTGGGGCAGCTTGAGGGCGCGCTGGCGGAGAGAAGACTCCGAGCTGCCAGGACTGCCAGCTCGACTTGGGTTACGGCCATCTTCCTGGGCCGGGGCAAAACTCTCTGCACTTTTTAACCCCTGATGCACGCGAGGAGGAAACGAAGCCTGGATTCCCTCATCCATCTGCGAGCTTCCTGTACTCTAACGAGCCCACCCCACAGTGACATGATCCAGCCACGTGACTTTTTTTTTTAATCCCTTCCCACGTCCGTGTAAAAGCTATGGTAACCAGCTGGTCGGAGCCAGTTTCTGGTGACACACTGCTTTCATTTTGTGAAGTGAGCAAACGGGGTGGGAAGAGCACTGGGGGGTGGGACGAGGAAGTACGGGGGCAGCAGGTGCTGTAAGAAAATGGAGCATGTGGAGATGTCCCACAGAGGCAAAGCAGCTGCCTGGAGAACACAGAGGGGGAACCTTTTGCCAAACGGTGGCATCCCGGGGAAGCAGCCCAAGCGCCCAAATGCAGCACCTGTGTCCGTGCATTTCTCTCCCACCCATTTCCGTCCTGTGCACTGCCAGGCTCACGAACAAACTCTTTGTGTCCGTACCAACTTGTCTGAGCTGGCAAGTGGCCCAGCCTTAAGCAAGCTTCCCGGATAGTTTAAGTCTCCCAGGATGGGACAGTAGGGCTTAGTCTTCCAGTGAGCAGAGGGAAACCTGAAACTCCGCAAGTTTTGTGGCGGACTGGCTGGGATTTCTTTTCTTTTTTTTTAATAACAAGTTTTATTCAAAATAACCCTAAAACAAAGGAAAACTAAAAACCACATCAATCATCAGAAAACATCAGACCTGCTGGGTCAGTCCGCACATTTTTTTCTATTTATGGTAACTTAAAAACATATTTAAATCTATACGAAGTCCCATTTCTCTAGCCAATAATAAAAAGAGTCCCAAGTTTGATAGAAATTCCTTTCGACTTGGATGTCTGTTATTTCCTAATAGCAGCAGCATGTAAAGAAGTTCTTCCTTTGATCTTTCCTGGATCCCCCACCAATCAGTATTATTCTGGCATTATGGTGCATTATTTTCACACCTCTGTCCTGTCTCCCTGTATGTGCCTTTTTTCTGAGCTCAGCAATCCCATTTCTTGGCCCCACTCCCCACAGGGGAGCTGCTCGGACCCTCAGATCATGTTCGTTGCTCTGCTCTGCACTTTTCCCAACCCAGCAGTGCCCTTTTCCAGGTAAGGTGGCCAGAACTGAACACCTAAGTGGCTGTACCAGACACCTGTATAAGGGGAATGCAATTTTGGTTTCTTCTGGGAACAGCTCTTCCCAGTCTCTACCTGGCTCCTTCTGCATACAATGCACTTAAATGAAACGGCAATCGCTTCCCTAAATCCTGGATTCAAAATTATTTCACTCTCCCTCAGGCTCTTGGTGCCTCCTGTTTCTCACTAACAGTAAAAGACAAAGCAGGGCAAAGATGTTCCATCTTTGGCTTATTCCTAACCAACTTTGTGGATATAATTAGTTTTTATTATTATTTATTATTTTTTATTTTTTTGATTTATATCCTGGATTTTTCCTACAAAGGGCTCAAGGCAGCTTACATTATCTCTCCTCCTCCATCTTATCCCCACAACAACAACCCTGTACAGATCACCCAAATTCAGGTTTGGTCAACACCAGCCCGGCTGGTGATCACATTTTTTAAACACCAGGCTTTTTGCGCAGCCCACTGTAATTCCTTTCCATTCTCTTTTTTTACATACTAGTAGATTTTATTTTTTAAGTCCTCCATCTGAAGGCTGGAATGGTGCTCTGGGAAACGCAAGTTTCTCTGTCTTTTGCTCAGCACTGGCTCACAAATCCAGAGAAAACCAACTTTGCTACGGACCGTTGAACAAGAAATGCCATAGTTCATCATCAGCATCATCTTTATATCCCACTTTTGATGACTATGGGGTAATTTTCCTTAACTGGGTGCCAATAGATACATCCCTTGCACCCTGATGTCTGTTTGTTGATTTATATCCTGCCTTTTTCCTGAAAAGGGCTCAAGGCAGCTTACATCATTCTCCTCCTCCATCTCATCCCCACAACAACAACCCTGTGAGGTAGGCTGGGCTGAGCATCTGTGCCTGGCCCAAAGCCACCCAGTTGACTCCATGGCTGAGTGGGGACTCGAACCCGGATCACCTGAGTCCCAGTCCCTTGCTCTAACCAC